GGTGTTATAGACCAGCTGTACAATATCAGAAAACTCAGATGTTTGACCCAGAGATAAAATCTTTATATTTAAAAATAATATTGAAAATTTTCATTTCTAAGCACAGTAAATCTTGCATCAGTCAAAATGGCTCAGAAAATCTGGTGTTTCAGCCATCTGGCTTTTGGAGTTCTTAGTCTTCACCTCATTATTATTATTGATTGAAATAAATTAGCAACATCTATAGAGCACTTTACAGATAGCTGCAAAGATCTTTTGAGTTCATTGTCTCTTGTTTTATTAAGCACACATTCCATGTTGTTTTCAAGCTTGAGTATGGAAAATCTGTCCGAAATAAATCAGATTACTTTCTTCATACATTGGTTGTATTTGTTGGCTGGCCAATATAGCTACAGTACTGTTGGAGGAGCACTGATTTTAGAATCGAAAGCCCTGGGTTTATATACTTGCTTTTCTCCTTAAAGATTGTCTGATTTCGGTAAATTGCTTTATCTTTCTGATTATCAGCCTCCTCCTCTACCACTCAGAGCTATTGAAAAGATACTTAGGAAAGATATATTTTTGTTTATTTTTTGTAACTAAATTCCTAAAATAAAGTTTCTTGATATTCAACTGTTTCTTACTAAAACTAAAGGCCAGAAAATTCCACTTATGAAAACGGTCATTTTTCTACTTTTAACAAAGGAATGTTCTCATTTTTTAACAAAAGAAGCCCCTAACTAACTTAATAAAGAACATCATTTTTCTTTCTTTAAAAAATAAAAAGTCTGATAAATTAATGCCTTTGTAATGGGGTTTGAAATATCACTTTAGAAGAGAGGTTGTAGAAAATGTAACATATATGTACTTACATGTAATTCTTTTCCCATTAGATTCAAAGCATTTAAAAACTATTTCTTATCAACTTTCCATGGATATTCCAAAAAAAGAGCCAACTGATGACAGACTACTTGATTTTCACCTAGAAAACAGTAACATATCCATTGTTTGTTGTGATTCTAGGGTAGCATGTGGAAAGGTAATTAACTTGTAATTGTTTTACTTGCTATTTTAAAAAAGGTCAGTATACCTAAAATTATAAAAATTCTGATAGGCTGACTGGTTAGCTCAGTTGGTTAGAGCACTGTGTTAAAACACAATGTCAAGGGTTTGGATCCCTGTACTGACCAGCCATTAAAAAAACCAAAAAGTTCTCATGAAGCTTGGCTACATGACACATTTAACTATCAAAAAG